ATATATATAAGTACTCAAGTTCTCTTCTTATCACTATCTCAGCAATGCTGACTTCCATACATCCAATCTTCCGTTTCATTACATATGTCCACTCTTTCTGTCTGTTGTTTCTTGTTTTCATAAATTATTATTATTATTATTATTATTAAATACTTTACATATCAGAACAGCGTTCCTTCGTAGTCATCTCGGTTCCTCCCTATCTCTGCTCAATGTGTCACGTCGTTGTTAAGAGCGCTTTTTAGTTGCACAACCCGTTTAGTGAGTTTCATTGCTCTGCGTCTTTTACCGTTAGTGTGATATGTGGTCGTAGTATCCTTTTGTGCCGTGATGGGTAATCGATCGATTAGGGGGTGCTTTGTTGTGACAACCTTGTACCGATATTTCGTTAACCTCACAGCCACGTCCCTAATATTTCTATCTGGAACCATCAATTATAGCTTTCCTTTTGTCATGTCCGTTTAGTACGCTGAAATTTATCTTTGTACATAAATGCATTCGTAAACAGACCGTCCATGGCCATTTCTATATTTAGGCCCACTGTGTGATGAATGTCAAAGCAAACACCTTCAGCGCTTTTTTTTTACAGCTGTTCCCTTACCGTTAATATAAATATACTGTGATGTATGTATGTATATTCGCATTAGGGACGCAAAATCTGGTTGACTAACTAGAAAATGGAACACACTTGTTGTTCCGAGACGGCTGTCACAGCGGTTTTATTATCACCATTAACTCAGTGGTGTAGTCACTAAAAAGGAACTCGTTAACATGAGTTTCACAGGACAGGACGGAGCCAACGTCCAAGTCGATGGCATATGAAGGCAGTATTTTGTTTCACGTCTTATCTTATAAAAAAACAACTAGGTTCAATCATGTGTGGTGTTCCATATGCCTATTTGTGCGTCTGTTGACTCTGCCTTGTCTGTAATAAAGGCAACAGAACACTGGGAGCTCCAGCTTGTCTCAAAAATGGGTGCTGTAGCAGCTCAAATGCGGTGGCACGCTGCGAAGGATCGCGAACGAGCATCTTATCCAAGAAGCCGCCTAGCCGGGTACCTGATACGCCAGAAGCACGCACTTTCGGTGGGGGCATATCCCTAATCCGCCGCATAGCTTGTAAGGGTGGCTCGTTGAAGAATGGAGGCTCTGAGTCTACCATTTCGATCAGCATGATACCTAGTGACCAGATGTCCACTTCGGGGCCGTAGGGAAGTCGACTGATCACCTCAGGTGCCATCCAATATGGCGTGCCTACGAGACTTTTTCGTTTAGGCAAGTCGGCGCTTACCTGAGCGCAAAAACCGAAATCGCTCAACTTTACACGTCCATCGTGAGCCAAAAGAATGGAGTCGCTTTTGATATCGCGGTGAATAACACCCTGAGAATGTAAATACGCCAGTGCCTTGAGAACCTGTTTGCATACAGTGGCGATTTGTACTTCATCCATTTTACAGCTCGTAACAATGTCAGTGAGCGCTCCACCTTGCAAGAATTCCATGACGACCCACAGTTCATTCTCAACTAGGTATGATGCATACATTTCGACAATGTTTGCGTGCTTGTAATCGCGCATAATGACAACTTCATTAAATAAAAGCTCTCGCCGTTGTTGCTTTCGAAGATCCATGCGTTTCACTGCGACTACTTCTCCAGTGCTAACCTGCTTTGCGATGCAAACGACACCTGTTGAACCTTCTCCAATCTTAACAAACTCAAGAATATCGTTCCGGGGATCACCCTGCGATACCACCATTTGAAGAGCTGCCCGGAACTGCTCGTGCGATAAACGTTGATTGGCATCTGGCATTTGTTGTTGTGGTTGCTGCTGAGAAGGCTTGTTGTTAGTACTCACCTGCGGCTCAGGGCTAGCCGGCTGAAAAACGAGGTAGGGGTCACATAATAATAAGTAAAAGTTAATCACTAGAAGTAACGGTTATTATCAGTTGCGCATATAACACATAATATATATGGTTAGCAATGAAGTACAAAAGGTCTTACCTGTTGGTGTTGAGCATGCTGCTGATGCACAGAAGAATCAGTCGGTAGCGGCATGGGTTGAGGCTTATTGTGATTAGCCGTATGAGGCGGTGGTACGGGTGGACCTTGAGGATGGCCTCCCGAACCAGGCCCAATCGACTGGGGAACTATTTGATGACTTGGCGGTCCACCTGGATGTCCTTGTATTTGGCCTTGAGCCTGTTGTGAGAAATGTGCTCCCTGGTGCGCAGAGCCATGTTGAGGAAGAGGCGGAGGTGGAGGCAATTTCTCGTTTTCGTTATTATTATCCATCATTGGTCGAGGTGCTGGGGGTTTGCCTGCCGGGGCGATCCTCATGGCGGGGTTGAAGCCAAACTGGCCTTTAGGGGGTGGAATTGCATGTGGGTTCGGTGGTAATGAATTCGCCGAACTGTTAAGTCTTGGTATCTGGTTTGCTTGAGGTAGTGGCACTGAATGACTGAACGATTGATTCATCAACTGGCCAGAATTATGCGGCGGGGGTTGCGGTGGGTGCACCTGATGGGTCGGATGCGGCGGGTGACCAGGATGACCTGGGGGGTTAAGATGACCGGGTGCTCCTTGACTTGATGGCTGGCCTTGATGTACGGTCGGATGTGGCGTATTGCCGGTAGGTGGGGCTAAGGAGGTATTTGCCAATGGCGCATCTTCTTGAATCGTTTGAGGCAGATGCTGCTGCTGTAGGGATGATGACAGGTGACCGCGCACCGCCGGGGGTGAATGCGATCTCAAAGAATTTGAGCGTGCGACAAGGTTACGGCTGCTTGATGTTGCCGCAGTGCCTCGTACAATCGTCTGTAATTAGAATATTTTTTTATACAAAATCGTATAAAACTATAAAACGGCCTAAAACTGTGTCTACTTTTTTTATCTCGTTGAGTCTGCGTATCTTCCATCTATTTATCGACTTCATTTTGTATCTACATGTTTATTCGTGGTAAAAAAATAAAAATCCACATCAACATTGGACTATTTTGGATTGTTATCTATTGAAGTTCCACTTCTAATCATTCGAACAACGCGTTCTTTATTTGACAAAATATTCGTCTTCGAAACAAACTAATGTACACTAAAATACGATGCATTTGTTTAACTACGAGGTATTATGAGGCTTTGCCTTTTAACGCTCTCTAGAAACCAAAAAATTTAAACATGCTTATACTAACGTGCATCTTGAGGTCCAGAATTTCAGTTGGTGTGATGTTAGAAGGATCGATAATCGGTTTGGGCCGCATCGATGGATCATCTGAACCAGCCGCTTGTGGGACCTGAATCAAAGACGCCCATTGAGGAGGTAAACCCACATAGCGGCCCTCGCGACGATCAAAACCAGTGTGCACGCGATGTTCGAAATTCGAAGGCATCGAAATAACAGGACGCTTCTTCTTGCGAAACATTTTGTCCGACAATGGGTGTATCCGCTTATGGGCAATCCAGGTTCCCTAGTTCGCGCTTACTTCGTGAGCTTTGTTGGTGAGCACGCCCGTCTTTCATCCAGCACAGATCTGATCTGAGAACCTAATTCTTCGTAGCCGGCTTAAATGTAGTGTCGTAAGCGTGCAAATCGTATGTTCCAGTTTAACTGGCTACTTTTCATAGTAAAAACATTTCAAGAGCTCGGTGTTGACTGCACTTCTGTAATAGAGTAAAATGCTCAATATATATGTACTACAATAAAAGCCACTTTTAGAAAAATCCGCACTTTCTTTCTATCAAAATATATCTCAATGTATTATGTATCGCATCTTCAAATCAAACGTACGTTTATCGTCGGAAGTTGAGTTGCTAAACACGGCATTCTGCGTAGCATAGAATTAAAGAAATACTAAGCACGGCTTTTTTTTTGTTTTCGTTACGTCTGATGGTCTTTATCCTACTTTTTTGCAAAACAGAAGTCATGTCAACACTTCAGCAAACTAATCGCAACTAACAGTTTGGGCAATAAACACACCGATGAGTGCGAATAATTGGAATATCCTTATTAAGCGTGAATATCTGCGCTTGCACATATCATAAGCGTGGTGCAATTCATGCCTCAACAATTTTTTATGGTTGCGAGAAAACAACTAGAAAAATCCTGGGTGGATATGCTGTGGGTGTTGGTCTAATCTTCTAACTCAACTCCAAACAATGACCTATGTGACCAATATGAACCAGAAAATATTCATCGAAAAAGTTCAAAGCCGGTTTTCTTTAATAGTTTTGTGCTAGGATATATACAGACTATATTTCTTTATCGACCGAAACCCCAACTACACTACTTTTCTCTACTGTATCCTCCTTCTACGAAGAATGCTTTTTTAAAGGTCAAGTCAAAATGATAAACAAATGAAATAAGAAAAGCAATATAAACAAATAGGTGTTTTAGTGATTTCATATTCGATACTGGCATCATGTGTAAATATTCGATACTTGTTATTAAGTATATTAAAAGAAAAAGTCTTATTTGTGTAAAAATTACACCATGACTATAGTGTAATAGCCTAACAAATGGCGTTACGGCATTGCTTCGGTAAAGGTACTAATCGCGTCAGATAAGTGCAACTAAGACCGTTCACCTTTAGAATATCGAAATATAAGTGTACCACGCTTGGGACCAAAAATTAAGTGAGGCAAAAGTTGTCATTCTATAAATACAAATTCGTTGATTGTACTTGGAAATTCAGTTAGTTTCCTTTACCACTGACTACACTGTTAAAACGGAGAAGGTAGCCAACCAGGGAAATAATTAGCCAACGAGCTATTTTTTGCTTGGAAAATTTCATGCCTCGTTGCAAGCGATTTTTAGATCCTCCGCTTCCGCGGGTATGCAATGTTCAATAAAAAGTATTGCTTTTGTTAACCGCTTAAAGACTAAACAGGTTAAAACCAAGAAAATGTTGCGGACAGCAACGAACGGCATTGGTAAATCTCATAAAAGGACGCAACTTTATTCTTTTTTGATTACATACACTTAGAGAGAGCTGCCTACCGACTTGCCATACTAATTATATAGAATTATATAGGATATATAACCTAGTATTTTTCATCTCAGAAGCCGTTGTGTCACTGCCTGGTTAAATCATTGGTGTTATAACACTGGATACAAGTAAATTTAGGCTGACCGTCGGTATGAATTTTCGAAAATTTTTCAGTTCGAACTTTGTTAGAATCGGTGACACTTCACAGCCGTTATTTTGTGTAATCCATCTTTTCTTCACCAATTTCCCTCTCTCCATGCTTACTTACCTGACAGGTGCAGTTGGCGAGACTCTTAGAAAACTTTTATTAGAAAACTACAATGGCTACAACGATGCCATTACCAGTTGTTCGACCAAAACTATACACACACTACACAAATAAAGGCTTGCGAGGGTCATCCTTGCAAATATTGTACAAAAAACTTTTCCTCCATCAGACACACAACTTAACTTACGAAAAAAAGATAAAACTAAAGTTTTGGCGACGATCAAATAATCCCCAGTGGGCATCTAACCACAAGTAAATAAATAGACACGCCATATTGAATGATGAACTGATCACTCTTGCAGTGCTGTGAGCCCCGCCGATAGAATGCAGCCAGCGTCGCTACCCGCACTCACTTCGATGCGCCTCCACTCAACGGTGATTGTGGTTGAGCAATCGGAACGCTTAAAAGAAAGTATTTAGAAAACTTTGGTCTCCTTAATTTCAAGGAAATATTCTGAACATGATTTGAAATATAAGAACTTTTTTGGAATTATCTGTCGAGTTGTTCGGCTCATTACAGCGTAGTCAAATGTAATGGTCCAATGTCATCAGATCCGTTACAGTATAACGAAACCATTAGATAATCTCAACAGAGTCGACGTTGTTGATTGAGCTGACATCAGACCGAAGTAGATGAAATAGGTACATTCTTTATCAAGCTTAGTTCAGGCACTTTCTCTATCTCTCTTCCTGCTACGTTCTATCGCCGCACTACTCGCCGTCCGTGCCCCATGAAGCTTCCGATGATTACTGTATCGGGGGGTGCAGTAAGAGTTTAGGGTGGGTACTGTTAGCGATGGGGGCGACCAGTGTACGTACGTACGCCAAGAAGGCGGGGTTACGCCAAAGGACACTATACAGACAAACCCAAGATACGCACACGCTGCCGATAGCAGGCACGCCGCTAGGTAGCGCCTTGGGCCTATCCGAGGCCTGCGGACACACCACACTTATCGCAGATTAGATAGAATTTTCTACTGGCGACATCTAGCGAGAATACTTGTGTCAACGGTATTAGCTTCCCGTTGTTAACCGCATTTTTCGGTCTGCTTGCTGTTTTATTATTGCCTGCTCTGTATGCTCCGGTGCTTGGGCTGGCTGCGGGCGAACTGGCCTCTTCACCGTTCGTACACATGCTATACCAATGTATGGATTTCCCTGCCAGTTCGTGTGCCGGTACTTGGTAGGATTTCTGGGGGTGCAGTAGAACGCTTGGGTGGATTTCATGGTTTGCCCATCGTATCGAAGGACGGTAACCGGCGTGGCCTAGTCTGGCATGGGTTAATCAACGCAGTTTGTAACTATAAATCAGCACTAGAACATCATGCTGCTACTGCCATGATAACGGTACGATGCTGTGGTGTGGTATGATACCCGCCTTGACGTAGCTATCATTCCGCTGTCGATTGCTGGCGAAGTACAAAGTCGCTGGTTCAATAAGACTACACTGAATGCTCACACAGGTCAGTGCTTAAGATATACAAAGCACTAACGCTACAAAAACGGGGACTTCGAAGACAAAAAAAGGGCTTGACGGTTGGGACTCTGTGAGCTTGTTCATGAGCCTCTGCTGTCGCTGGTTGGTAATTTCAACTCCCAAACGAGTGTGGTCAGATCACTTACCGATGTCGTACCAGTAGTTCCAAAGACATTTCGTCCCTTCCATAAATTTTACGCATCTTAATGCCTCCATTTGAAAAAAATTATTCTCGCTACCATATTATTAAACGGTATGATGGATAGAGGCAACACACGCAAGTCAACCAGTAGGCTATACTGCTTACGAGTCGGGCACGTTCTGTCGTTATTTCATAATTATTACGATACTTATTTACTAACATCCTATTGTTGATGCGGCTAGTTGTACAACATGACAGGTATTGGCTCTCGTATCAAGGCCAGTCAGTGTAAAAAAATAGTGAATCGCCTTTAGCACACTGCGAAAGTTGCGTTTTCTAAAAGCCCGCATCTTACAAAGCATAATGATTATCCACCTCGTTGTCTATACCATAACTCGGCCTTTTGCAGGCTAAATGAAATATATAAATGGGAGATGCGCCTGGGTAAGATCTTTTCCACAAAACAAATGCAATGATCGACTACGACGGTGCTCCGGGTTAAACACGTGGGCACGAAAATTGGCAAGCAAATCACGTAACACTGTAGCTTAATAATAATTTTTTCAAACGTGCGGCCTTGTAACCCTACAATGTTACAAAGTTACTAAAATAATCGTCGGAGGTTTATTTTTTACTTACGCCGCTGGCGTAGATCAGGGCGAATTAAGCGGTATGGAGGGAGCATACAGGGCAAGCCGAGTTTTAGTTAGAGAGCCGAGAGGTTTATTCATTGCCAATCCGAGGATGACTTTCCATTTTCGCCAAGCTGCATGAATCCAGTAGTTCTTCGGTTTCATCGTAATAATCACGCATGCTTTTTAATACCAATCAGTAATACCACCCATAATATTTATTTGTTATTATTATAAGTACCAACCATAATATTTATTTGATAACACTTAAAAAAATAGAGAGGGTTTCATAACGGTTTTTGATAGCTGACGACGTTATGACCGTAACAGTGGTGCCTAAAAAATCTAACGCACAATAAAAATAGCGCATCTTACGATACCTTATCTACTTGAGGAACTCAAATGGTATTCTACATTGTGTAAAGTTTGCTATCACAAGTATTTAAAAAAATATTTTGGGTACTACAACTATCAATACCTACTCTGCACTTGAGGCTTGCGCAAGGAATTGAAACATTTTTTCAGGAAATCGTTTTCACAACATCAAATCTTTACTTGAATTACTCACGCCTAATTATAAATATGATGAAAAAAACAGATCGTGTTTGTTTCGTAATGCGTCCGTGTAATGGCAGCGGCATGTGAAAAATATACTGCTTATTCGTACTTTGTTTTTATTAGTATCGAAGCCATGAGCTTAATGTTCGGAGACGGAATATGTCTCAGTGCCGGACTCAAGCCACCAGCGTCGGGCTGCGAAGCCGGAAATTCGAAACTTGACCGTAGAAGTTATTGTGGTTGATGAATTCTCATTTTTGATTGTATTCACTCTTATCTACTATTACACTATATGCCATAAGCTAGACTTGTCTTTATCTTTCATAGAAAATCCCATTCTATTATCAGTTATTCGCCGCCAGATCCCAAATGACATGATAACTAATTATCTGATTAAGTCCAGTGCAAATTACTGATAAGCGTAACTAGTACTCAGCATATCTTCAGACTCATATTTATTAGTCGGATGTTCTTCTTCAGTATTCATTATTTTGCATTATTATCATACGCGCGAAACCACTCCTTCTTCTTCGGCTAACTCTTGAAAATTCAATCATATATTAGACTGAACTGCGCTTGCATGACGATATACATTGATTCATTTAATACAAGTTATCCCAAGTGATTCTTTACTATCAGTTTTTGCTCTTTAAATAGATTTAATAACGTTTTAGGCATGCAATTATTCATATTAAGATTGTATTAGGCGTTTTTAATCTTTACATTTTTGTTCGTGGAACCAAAGTAAGGCGCAATTGTTGTCACACAAGTTGTGTGTTTTTTTCTCTGCGCCAAATTATTTGAAAATGACTTTATATTTTAAACAAAGTGTTCTCTAAAGATCTTCTTCACATTAAGGTGGGGTGACTATTTTGCTATTTGCAGACCTTCTGTCAGGGTTAACATCGTCACTTTACCGGACGGTGCATTTCATATGTACGACTATTCACCTACAGGTCTGCATGGGAAATACGAACGCAATATTTTGTACTGGTACCTGCATAGAACTTGAATTACATAAATCATGGACAATAAATACATCAAAGTGATAAACATTTATTGCTTTCATCATTACTAGTTACCCTTTCTGACCTGCAAACTCCGGCAGAGCGGTAGAATTTCGCGCCAATCATAGCCTCTTTTGGTCGACGCCGACGCCATCTGTCTACAAGTGATAGAGATAAAGCAAATGACGCATGCGTACTATGATTGAGTCTCACGTGATCGATAGTATGTCATGTGCTGCTGCGAGTTGCTAACAGCAGGATATCAAGCTGGAGACAGTCTAAGACATTAGTTCTATCTGTGTGTAGTGATCACTTAATGTGTTTGTGTCGTTCCTTTTTTTAAAAAAGTATTTGTATAAGTTCGAGGTGAGTGTTCTGTAGTATTGCAGATTGTGAGTGCGATCACAGCAAACCGTTCATTCTCATGGAAAACAGCTTTAGTTCTCCCTCTGCCTGTCGCGCTCGCCAGTAAAACTAGGAAGGAGATTTTAGGGCAAATCTCTATAGCCTCGCTGGGCGTATGTTCGATGATTTAATTCAACTTAGGTCTTTAATTGGTTCATTGAAGTGTTGTGTGCGGTAAAAGGCAAACAATCGGTTGAATTCTAGATTTCTACCACTGTTCTATCTCTGACACGGAAGTAAAGTTCGCGCGCAGAAGCCGGGCGCTACCGGTAACACCTGAAGTGTCAATGTTATCACCCAGAGAAATGAAAAATACGTTGATACGGCACGTGTGATTATCTTTAACTCTGTTGTACGGAGCTTGTCTACACGAAACGTATTTGCACTACACAAGCGAAATTTCTTCGAAGCAGGTTTTTGAAGATGGCAAACTAATATAATATACCTGTCCTTTTTCAACAGGTTGGGCCTCGCAAAAAAGTGATAGAATGATTTTATGAAAGTATCGCTATTCGAATTGATTTTATCAAATCACGGCTGACGGCGACTTATCGTTTCACTTCTATTTTTTCTAGAATATGTTGATTCTCTGTCATACAAACCTAGCAGATGGTTATCGTGACCCTTAATTAATATATTTATTATATTTGTGATTTATAATATATATACATATATATATATATATATATAATTGATTGATACAAATTGATTGCTAGATAAGAAATAGCTAGGTTCGCTTTCGGAGAAGCTTACCAAGTCGTTTCCATCTCCCTGAGGAGTTGGCTATTTCTTATTTATGGAAACTACCACCGACTATAAATAGCTTTAACTGATGACCGAATATTAGAATAGATTTATTTATTACAGATTATTGTAGGTCCTTTTTATTATATTCAGCATCTCTAACATTTAAACGAAATCCATAAATGCGAAGTATGTGTTTATCCCGATCTAATCGTGAAACATTATAGCCTAAATGTTTAAATGTGTTGAGTTATATCGCATAAAACTATTTTTAGATAACGTAGGTCTTTTTCTTGAATGCACAAATTCACAAATGTTCACTTCTCAAACATGGCCGCTATAAATCAAAGTATATGTGTCCTATGCTGTACCAGACTGTTTGCCTATTTATGCTTCTCACTCACCACTAGTTATTATTACTATACGCTGTATCACTTCAGGAAGGTACTGTATATAACGGAGTTTAACTTACGACTGAGTTGAGTGCTTTTCGTTGAAGGAACAGGTTGCTTCACTTATACCCATAGTCAATGTTAATTAACAATGATATATTTTTTCTAGCAGAATATTTGTGAACTCGTGAACTCTGAAACGCCCAAGATGGGGTCGTCGTTCCGTAGCGAGGAGATGACTATGGCGCAGTTGTTTCTCCCAACTGATTCTGCTTATTTTTGCATGTCTGAACTAGGCGAGCTCGGTCAAGTGCAGATCTGCGATGTGAGTGTCTCTAGTTATCTTATTTTGCATATAACTCTGACTATTAGAATGATTCGAATTTAATTTGCATTAACAGCTATAGCCTGTCCGACAGCACGTACCTTTTTCGTGCTCGATTTTGGTCTATCGCTTGACGTAGACGTTCATTTGCATTTTTTTTTCATTTGCCAGTTGAACCCGGACACTAATGCTTTTCAACGACGATTCGTTAACGAGATACGCCGTTGCAATGAAATGGAAAGGCAGCTGCATTATATTTTGCGACAGATTAAAATGAAATCTCTGCATATTCCGCAGGTGGTATAGAGCTTCATGTATGCGTGTACACATGCATGTCTTATTGTAAGCAGATATTCAGTCGATATAACTATCGACTGATACAGTTGTTTACGCAGATGTTTTGTTTGATAAAAATTATTGATTCTACAGCTCTAACTTTACATCGCACTAAATATCTAGCTTCATAGGCAGTTTAAGTTAGGTAAGCTGCTAAGTTAAATTACTGAATCAATTAAATTAAATTAAAAGACAGTACAGAACAAATAAGGATTTTACTTGTTCTGTGTACACCGACAGCTACTTATGATATATAACGTCCTTTGACTGATCAATCAATCGCAGTTGAGTTTTATGATCGATGTCATAATAGATGTCACTCAGTTTTTTGCCCCTTAATAATACTATTGATAACACTCGAATAAACGCTCCTTTGAAACGTCGCAGTTGAGCGCCAAAGGCTATCCGAAGGCACCTCATCCAAAAGATATGATTGACATGGAGGCAACCTTTACAAAAATAGAAGACGAGTTAAAAGAAGTTAACGTCAATGGCGAGGAACTGAAAAGGACATACCTCGAACTTTCTGAGGCCAAGATGATCGTGGAGCTAACGCAGGAGTTCTTCGAGCAGGTTCGTAACAAGAATTTAAGTTGAAATTCTGCTTTAAATGCTCATACGATAAAAAAAAGAAGCACTAGAAGAGACGACCGAACTTCTAACAACAGTACCTATTTCGACGCAAGATGTGCATATGTATAACTACAGCCTTCTTAAAATCTGTTTAATATTTTGTTTTGCTTAGCGAGAACGTTCGGCGAGTGTGGTGCAACGTGATGACGGCTTTCAACTGATGCCGACAGACAATATTAATCTATTCTTCCTGGCGGGAGTAGTTCCCCGTGAAAAGCTCATGTCTTTAGAGACGCTGCTGTGGCGCGTCTGCAGGGGCAACATATTTTTGCGTCAGGAGCCGATTTCACTACCCCCGGACGATCCCCACTCTGGTAACAGGCAGCTGAAGAACATTGTCTTAATCTTCTTCCAGGGCGAACAACTGAAATTGAAGATTAAAAAAATCATGCAGGCGTTAGTGTCTTCAACTTGTTTATTTTTACGGCGCAATAATAATTATAATACGACCAATTTTCTTCGTCAAATCGAAATAAAAAAATGTATATTTATGATCATTCAATCAATAAATATTAAAACCGTTACGTAAAGTCTAATATGGATATTTAAGATACATGGGTATTCCTTATTAGCTAGTTTAAACGGTAACAACCTACTCATTGAATTTGAAAGTTCTAATAAGATTGTTTTAAATGAAAGCGATATTATTGCGTCACTTCTCTCATTCGAATAGGTTTCACGCCACGATATATCCGATCTCGGATACGCCGAAAGGTCGTCATCAGTTACTAGATAACATTCGTGGCCGGCTGGAAGATTTGAAGAAAGTTCGCCAGGAAGCTGATGATCACAGAGATCGCGTTCTTAGAGCTGCCTCCCGAAAAATCAACTCGTGGTTTGTCCAGGTGTGTTTAAATCTTTATGGAATAATCAGTTACCGAATTCTGCGCTGTTTAGCATATGACTATATCACTAAGCCCCTGCTTCAATTTTTAACTGTTTGAATTTTGAGCTTCTACTGTATTGTATTCTTATGTTCAATATGTATTCGTTTAACTTTGATTGGTCGCTGCTCTTCACACAGGTTCGTAAAATGAAAGCGACGTTCCACACGCTCGATTGTTGTAATATGGACATCACATCAAAATGTCTTCTAGCTGAAGCATGGATGCCGGTTGCAGATATTGCGCTCGTACAGAACGCTCTGAATCGTGGCCAGGTGGCGTCGGGTAGTAACGTGTATCCTATTTTGCAACAAGTCGATACAAATCAGGTCCCACCAACCTACAATCGTACGAACAAATTTACCAATGCGTTTCAAAATATTATTGATGCGTACGGCATTGCGACCTACCAGGAAATTAATCCAACTCCATTTACCATCGTCACGTTTCCTTTTTTGTTCGCTGTGATGTTCGGCGACGCGGGCCATGGCCTTCTTATGTTCCTTTTTGCGTTCTGGATGGTCCTCTGGGAACGATCGCTCAGCGAACAGTGGAATGACAACGAGGTAAGCGTTATGGAAGAAAGATTATACATTTTGATATGCAATACATATTACATTTTTTTCAAATAAAGCAACGTCAATACCTGATAATTCACAAAACCAATAAGAATAAACAGTTACAGTACATCTATAACAAAACGGTTGTAATGAACGGTTATTCATTTCAAATTATTTGCAGCGAAATTTAAATCGGCGAATGAACTAGTTAATTATTCCTTTCATCCTATATAAACGAATATTTTGCTCTAATTCACTCTCTTCATTTAAACCTACATGTAAAAAAATCCTTCTTTTTCAATTTCTACTAGGAGTTGCTACAAACAAAGTTTTTAATTGTTATTACTATTTTATTAATAGGCTTCTACGTAAATCAAATGCTACATGCCTCTGTTTATCTTTTTTCTATTCATTCTGTTTTGACAGATCTGGAATATGTTCTTCGGCGGTCGGTACATTATCATTTTGATGGGCTTTTTCTCAATGTATACTGGCTTAATCTATAACGACGTGTTCTCAAAATCGATGAACATTTTCGGATCCAGTTGGACGGTTCCTAAAAACCAGACCAATCACAATGAGGGTATCACGATGCTTGATCCAAACGACGACTATAGCAGATATCCCTACATCTTTGGAGTGGATCCTGTATGTCAATTAGATACTGACCAATGTTACATCTATATATTACCAGGACCCTTTCGAATAGTTTTGCGTTGAATCGCATATTATTAGCATCTTTGTATTTGTCTGTCGCTCCAAAATCTCAAAACTTATATATTCAAGTCATTGATTACTTACAGTACGTACTATCCGCTTATTATTTGTATATAAGAAGACATACCTTTTAGTTACAGCGGGCATTATTATTATTACCTATTCGCAGTATTCGATCATAGACCTATAAAAGAGGTGTTGCTGATTGTTTTAGCTTTAGATTAAAGTGGTCCACGCTAATTCGCTATACATACATATATATAATTAGGCTGACCCATACTGTAACAACCGCCCTCGTATTTAACGATATACCACTTATTGATTGTTACAGATATGGCAAGTAGCAACGAATAAGATCCCATTCACGAACTCATTCAAGATGAAAACCTCGGTCGTCTTTGGTGTGCTTCAGATGCTATTTGGAGTGCTCCTATCACTTGGCAATCACCTATTTCAAAAGGACAGACTCTCGATTCTGGCTGAATTCGTTCCCCAGTTATTGTTTCTCTGCCTCATATTTGGGTACCTGGTCATTGCTATATTCCTCAAATGGGCGTTCTTCTACCGCAATGCGAGCTGCGCTCCCTCTCTGCTCTTAATGCTTATCAACATGTTTATATTGCAGTATAAACCGTACAATAAGAATGATGAAGCCACCTGTGCGAACTGGCCATTGTATGAAGGTCAAGAGGCGATACAAACAACTTTTATTATCGTTGCTATGATATGCGTACCGTGGATGTTGTTTGTAAAGCCATTAGTCTTGAAGAGTCGCGCCGAACCTGCCAAGGCAATGCGCGCCTCGTCAACAGCGCCACTTAACGCTGAAGAACTCGGGGAGGCTAAGCACGCCCAGACCGAGGAGAACAGCCATGGCAACCATGAGCCGGCTGCAGCCGATAACGGTAGAGGTCAAGGGTGTCCCGCTACCAGCGAATTCGATTTTGGTGAATGTTTAATTAACCAGGTTATTCATACGATTGAGTACGTCCTTGGTTCGGTCTCTCATACTGCCTCGTATCTCCGACTTTGGGCGTTGTCGTTGGCCCACTCTCGTAAGTATTGAAATAATCGTCGAAGCTAGACTTGACAACGCTGTAAAACAGATTACCATGCCAATACTGGACAGTGGTTTAGCCCGAATCGCAAAATAAGGAGATATGCTATTTTTATTCTTCTCGTTGCATTCGAGTTGAATTCGGTTACAGTGCCTCTAGGTTTGCCTATTCGATTATTTAGCTTCAATTTCGTTTATATAACCGTGAAGTTCGCAAATTTTCTATGCTAACTAGCTTTCATTTGATTTTTAATGTATGTATCAACACTGTCTGTTGTTATATGGACAGAGCTGTCGGAGGTATTATGGAGTATGGTGTTCAAAGTAGGACTGAACACGACGGACTGGTTTGGTTTTATCGCAGTGTTTTTGGTCTTTTCGTTCTGGGCATTTCTGACAACTGCCGTGCTGCTCTTAATGGAAGGCCTCTCAGCTTTTCTACACGCTCTTCGTCTTCACTGGTATGGACACTCAGTAACAATATTAAACATTTTGATGAACTGTAAAAAGAAGGAAACAAAAATCGCATGACCTTAAACATTAATCGAAATTACCAGTGCTGATTAGTGTATACTTAGGCTATTATATTGACCTTATACTCATCTCTGTATTACTCAGATAATTTAAAAAAAAACTGCCAGCAAGAATTGTTGCATACGTGCGTTTAGTAATCTACCGCAGTGCATATGCCCTATTTTGTAGTGAGTTCGGGTAGCTTCTCTAAATAAATGATTTGAATATAATTCCTGATTTTTGAAGCTCATATAAAATCAATGATAGTGCATACGAAAATTCGAATTTCATATATTACGTTAGTTTCTCGTCACTAGCACTTTTGTGCCACAGAGCGATTGACCTCGTGATCGAGCGAAGAAGCAAGCTCAGTGGTAACGAATGGCGCACCTATGATAAAGCGCCGTATGAAAATTAACAGTAACAAACCCACGTATATTATGTATTTGATCTTCAGGGTGGAGTTCCAGTCGAAATTTTATCACGGCGAGGGACACCTATTTTTACCGTTCAAATTCAGCGAGATGCTCGATTCAGCTGAACGAGCCGACCGTGCCCTAACCGCTTAAAATGTTTACGAGCGGATGCCGATTGTGTCTAGTAGACTGCTAATATATATGACTATACCCTGGGTACGTCTGTGGCTCCATGCTTTGTAACGGCGTGTGGCTTAAACTTTGTGCGAATAATGAGAATTGTGATAAGAAGAAAAATGGATCCGAAATCACCTTTCGTGTACAGGAAGCAGTTCGCGTGGTAACGCAACTCGTAAAAGGAAAAACGATGGTATGAAACATAAGTACCAGCGTAAGCTGCATAATTCTTTTTACGCTAGGAATAGTGATTTTCGCTGACTTTTTTCATCAAATTTGAAAATTTGCAAACGAAAATTGCTAATTACAAATTATACCAAAATAATTCTGCTTGTTGATATGATTTATTTGCATCGGGCGTAAGAGTGCCATATAACAAAGCAGAACCCCAATTGGCTGTTGTTAGTTGGAGACAGGCCTGATCTAATTCCTCGTATATTTTCACCAACTATAACAATTACTGTTTATTCAAAGCATGTCTTATATAAAGGAGAAACCGAATAACAGACTTTGGTCAGACAAATTCCATTCCGCTATTAATTTTATCCTGTTCATCTGACTAACTTGTGAACCACAACACTTGTATAAACGTTTCTTCATAGAAGTTAAAAAACAAAACCAATTATTTCGATGCTTTTTTTCTAGCTTCGTATGATCTTATGGCATTTACAAGTCTACTTAATTACCATAGGTTCAAATATATTTTTAACTCTCCAATAATTGTTTCTTAGTTACAAAAAACTTACAAGAAACTTACGCAAAAAACACGTCCGACAAAAATCGCCACACGAATTACCTATAGGGTAAGATTACCAACAAGTGTATACATATACAAACCATGTCGTTTACAAGCAGCGGAAAATCTGTCCGACACCTGCTTAAAATGACAAGTAGTATCTTATATATTGGCAAAAATAAATAACGACATTGATGGCTGCCGGTACTTTCAGGTGTTTTATTATTAATGAGAGTAATAACTGTGTTCTAAAGTGCGACGTTAGAAAATAACTAAAATACGAATATAGTTACAAGCATATTGAGTGTCTCTTGTAGCAATGCGTCATCATTTTGCTACCAGCAAAGATTTTTTTCATAAAGATTTGACGAACCCAAATAATAGAAATTTTTTAATCTTATTTTCGGAGTTAACAAAATACATAGTTTCATAGTTATGTCTTTCATTGTCCTTTGTACATCTGAACTATCATAGTACACGAATCGTCAAAAATGGCAAAGTTGTGCGGTTTCGTAATGGAACGTCCTTCTATTGCGGCTAGAACTACAGTAACTTAGACCTCTAAAGTGTTATTCTTCTTAACGGGTTTAAATAGGACAAGTAAAAAAAAAAAAGAAGCGTAAGTAAAAACTAGCTGCAAAAGCCTTTTTGCTTGGAGTGCGCTTATCCTTTAGACTTAACTGAGTTTTACTAGTCACCCAGCTAGAGAGAAATAAAAAACAACAGCTTGATACTTGATGGCTTCATTAATAAAGCACCCACACTACCGGATAACTTGAACGTAGTCCTAATTGTCAAGACTACGTAGGCGATGTCCTAGCAGGAATGCAAGTAGAGTACTACTAAATTTCGTAGACTCAAACATATCCTAATAAATGACAGCTGAGGTAGCCAATGATCTAGATCTTTTTCAATTTTGATAAAGCCAAAGCCAGGTAAAAACATAAACTTTAAGTTTTTCTTAATGGCAAGAGGGCATACAATATTCTAAATCATTTTGTCATAAGAAAAGCTTCAGTAAACTGCGGGACGTAAAACACAGCACCTTTTTGGCCGGAAGTTATATCTGAGGCATGGTGAAAAACCAAGCGATATTAAAATGCTAGCTAACAAAGGAGTTCATGTAAAAAGTGCTTCTCCTAATCCTGTTATTGATGTTTATTCCAGGTATAGGCAAAACACTTCCATGTGGGTTTAGATCCTCACAGTATTCCCACTATGGATCACCGAAAGTTAGACAATAGGATCGAAAATGGACTACATATTTTCACTTGTGACCAATTTGACAGATAGTGACGTAAAAACTAGGCTTATATGTTATCAGATGTGGTCAGTTCTACCTGTTGTGAACAGGTATTGGTCTGTCGGTGAGAATGAAACTAATCTGAATCAAAAGAAAAAGGGCCAAAACATCATGGCTCTCAAAACGTTTTCAGAGTGCCACATCTGAAAGAAGATTTATGGGAATAATTCAGTCTGTATCATCAGAAGCTAGTGTATATTGCTTAAACAATGCCTGGAGCTTTAACAATATGGGATTCTTTCGTCATTAACAAATTTATAGACTTGCTAAGAACAGTACTTACCAAACCATATACAGAGTACAATAAAAATAGAACCAGTGCAGTAACATATATATGGAGATGACCAGCGATCAAATGGCGCGACTCAAGCAGGTCTGGAAAAACGAAGAGATCTGTATACGTTGATATACACGTTTTTGAGAAGCGGCACTTACGGTCCATCAACTAGGATGTGAAGAAGTACAAATCTCACCCTACTTTGTACACAAGGTTGAGAAAACAGCTTATGTGATACAAGTAATAAATACGACGATGTCAAACAGATACTAGGGATAAGTGAGAAATATATACAATAAGCACAAATGGAGAAAGGACGCGGGTGAAAATCAAGACAATCATTCCGAGCTATATCTGAGTTGAGCGACAAGTTTCGACCGATGTCTATTGAACTCTTAGTCAAGTCGGCAGAGTAACATAGGGTTTATAGGGGTTATAAATATACAACAAGTGTAATGTCTCAAGATATTATACCTTAAACAAACGTGTGATAAAAAACACACTGTTGTATCCATTTCTACGCGTAGATTATAAGTCTAAAGACTGCGTAAGTAAACAATGTATTACACTAGAAATACCAACTGCCTCGTCTTCCATTCATACTTACGATGGCTTTGTACTAGAGGCATAGTGGTCGAAGCGTTTCCTTCTGTTATGGCTGAGCGTAGATCTCGAAAATAACACAAACTAGGTTTAGGATCTGCCCGCTCCGAATAAATCAATGTTTGGTACAGCTAATAGTTGTCTCTATCTTTTAATAAAGATGTTTGTGTAGATAATTCGTTAAACTCTTTATTTCTACAGGAGACTACGCATTTACGAACGAACCTTTGGCGTTGTATCAGCAGATCAACAGATACTTTGGGTGAAGTTTTGTAGGCTATGGTTATTTGTATTGGGTTGCTCATACTCTGATTTATTAATCACACCATCGATTTACCACCTTGATTCATCCACGTATGAAGCTTGTTTTAAATTTTGAAATCTATCTTTGAATGTATAGTTGGGGTTAGTAAACTGAGCATTTTCCGTGGATTTATACGATGATTTTTGATTGCTAAAAGATGAAATATTGCAAATTTGTATAAAAGTAACATTTTCTCGGTTTTTAATAAAGTGTTACTCAGGAATACACGTAACGTGATTACGTAGCGCCTAGTTTGATTTGACGATATGTTTGATGTTTTTTTGAAGTTAACTCAGTGAAAATAACCGCTAGTAAAAAGAAATTAACACGCAGCTTGTAAAGAAATGGTTATGTAATAAATATTTGTCTTGCATTAGAGTGGTTTAATGTTTAAGTAAAGATATAAGAACTATACCGGTTGTAAGTACCAACATTAAATATCGGTGGCTCTGTAATTAACGTTGAAAATTGCCTAGATTTTGACAGATTTACTATGAATGATAATCCATTTGACAGACGATCCATTGAGGTCAAATTCCATCGTTAGCTGAATTTCGGAAGACGCATTCAGAACTCTGTGGAACACTAGCTGACTTTCAAGAGCTTCAGTGCAAGGATTCGATCACGTGGCGATCAGCCTGTTCATACGTAGCACACAGACGAAAGCTAACAACCAAATGCAATAAACTGTAACAAAATAGAGTCTGGTTAGGAGGCTAGCTTGTTAAGAATAAGTCATTCGGCAATTCTTTACGTAAAGACGTAGCCAGTATGTTTTTATAATCTTCTTCGGCTACCAGAATGAAATTTTTGACAAGATACACGTAAAGCTTTGTCAGGAACATCTGAGTTAAAAAGAGGGTTTCAGTATTTTGTAAAAGTTTCCAGTATGCATGGTCCTGATTAGGCCCAAATAGGGACCTGAGAAGAGTACTTACAACACGACCTGTTTTGGCCTAAATATAAGGGGTGCTTTAGTTACAGTTATACCGACAGCTCGTTAAACATTAACAAAATGATGCCATCTCTGGATTAGCACTCTCGTGTTGAAAATATTGCTTGCATAATAAACTCCAAGTTTTCGATTATGAATAGCATTCTATAAATACCTCAAGCGCGTATTCATTTGACTCAACTATATATATAATAAGTAATGTATAAATGTATGTTTTTGTGTTTTTAAACGGTTCAAAGCCACACTATCTCTGACATGAAAAATATAATTCAATATGACAAAAAGCAAAAATCAAGATATGACAAAAAGGAGAATTAGTACACAAGTGATGACTTGTCAAAAAGTCTCCCATAATTAGGTTTATATGAGCCAAAATAGCAAAACAGTACGAGCAAAAAAATCCAATAATCTTAAAAACTGATCAGTCTCTTAATATAACCTAAAACGATTTTTGATCATAATTAGATATCTTAGATAATTCGTAGATAAGCAAACTCTGATCCTATATTATATATATAGATCCTATATATAGAGAGTGATGGAAATCCACTATAAATGATTGTAGCCATATTTGTCACCCGATTTTTTCAATTATAGGTATGTAATCAAGCCAAGGTTTTAAAAGCTTGGTGAATTAAGCTACTCGGTTCTATTTCTTATAGGATAGCTAATACTTTTATGGCAATAAATAATGACAACTTTTGTGGAGGCAGCCACTTCTCACGGGGCAAATATGTTGTATTAGATAAACCGAAGCAGATCAGCGTGAATGCAGTAGCACTTGAAAATACTGAAACGTATGATAATGACTTCCAAGGCATCCGGTGCGACCATGTGAGCGCTGTCATAGCTGATACGCCTCAGTCATATTAATATGGCCATGTATTCTTCATACGACTTAAAGAAGCGGCCTTGCAATTCGGCAATATTTAGAAGGTTACTGTCATGAACAAATAAAAAAAAACTAAAATGGCGAAGTAATGTCAGTCTAGTCGAAAGGAATGCGCGGACATGTCTTTATCTACTTAGTTGCTTATATTGGGAATGGTCGTTCTATCGCCCTTAGGCACATGACCTACTTACCTTACATTTTTAAATATCTACCTACAGAATGGGTTTTCGCAGCACGTAACCATCATGAACGTTAAATGGATACAGGTGCCAGTTGGAATATTACGTTGCGGTGACGTACTCTCATGTGAGTTGTTCGAGTAGGTTTATCCATAATATTCTCTATGCAAATATGACAGAGAGAAAAATACCTGGTCGGAGCTAAATCGAAATCAACCTTGTTACCTCTATCCAAGACGGATGAGCGTGCTTAGGACTTCTAGATAGGCTCATGATCCTGTGTATATGTTAGAGGTGCAAGTCAGAATTTCTAGTCGCCCTGCATTAAAAAAATATCTACTGATTTTTTTACTTCAATAGTTTTTCGTAGAAACGTTATCATTCGAGTACGCACAAATGTTTCTACAAATTGAGATAAGTTAATAACGCGTCTTTAATGTAAACATAAACTTAAACCTGTTATGCACTTTGTTATGTCCTGTCTGAATTTAATCGTAATTTTCCATTTGCGTTGTGGTGATTCACAGTATTACGTCGAAGAAAGAATTTAACTACACTTATTTTTAACTTATCTAGTAACATAAAGAACAAAACTTTTAGAATTTGCCAAGTTCTCTCGAATTAATTCAATTTTTAGAATGCGAGCAAACCACTCTGTAAGATATGTTTTTTTCCCTGTTTTTAACCAAGGGTTCTCGAATGGTTAGAGGCCACGTTAGCGAAACGTTATTGGATCTCTTTATAGAAAGCCTTTACAAGCTGTCTTCTTTTGCGAGGCCAGAAAGATTTTTTGTATTCAGACAGGGCTAGCTTAAGTTGACTTGAAAAGGACATACGTATATAACAGAGGCAAAAAGTAACTAAAACAAGGTATTCAAAATGAAGTACGATATTCAAGATACTTGGCTTACGCAATCCATTATCCCTTATTCTATGAAGATTATCTGAAAATTCTATGTCTCGTAGGCACTATATTTATTTTTACTGATATGAAGATACTGAATACATATATTTTTAAAGAAATAGTTTCAGAAAGATACTAGCGAACTTTTTGGTAAAAAGCGGTGATGTCGGTTCTATAAAAGTAGGCCCGAGATAGTAATATAATAACAGTAACAAAAAAAGAAAATAACTAAAATATTTACTTATTAGTAAAATGAGAAGTATAATTATAAAAACGAAAAACTGTAACATTCTAATTGTTGTAACAACTGACAGGTAAACGTGTCCGCCATAAACTATTATTTGCTTAAGTTTAAGCCTTTTGCACATATGCATCATAGTCCATGTTACTATGCGTCCAAAAATTTCAATCAAGTTCTATAAACTTATCAGCAACCATTTCACCTTTAAGCTCGTTGTCGATGTTAATTTGAACGCATTACATTTTTATAGTAATTGTAAGACGGTAATATATGCAAAATAGAATGTCCTGTGGTTATCGTTCTGAGTTATAAGTGTTTTCAAAAATATCTTTTCAGATCGTTTCGTAGGCTGACAGTTGTGTGGATTTTTAACAGATTCTAATTTGAATAACATTATAAGAATCTATGATGATGCTGGAGGTAATATGAAGAAAAAAACAAAAGAGACAAAATGTTAATAAGAACATGTTTCTTGTGCTATATTTTGTACTGACAAATTATTCTGCTTTAGAGATTATGTTGCCCGTTGCGGAAACATCCGTACTGAGCTGCTCTGATTCTGATAAAAAAATAATTTTTATTCATATACATTTCGACAAAATGCTGTCGCTTCCAAAGTATTAATTCTTCACTGTTTTAGTATGATGGTTGATTCTCAGGGCTACTCTTCTGGCTATACCTCCCTAATTTCTCGAACCTAGTGTCGTACGATAATTCTCCTCTTCAATTTTTTGCAAAGCTGCAGATTGTTGCGCAGTGGACAAACCAATTTACGACTACAGATATCTTTTTTTTTTGTTCGAGATCTGCTACCGTCCGATCTGGATTGGACTGGAGCAAAATACGACTTCGAAGCATTGTTTTTCAGGATTAACTGTTTAACGACTATTTACTACGAGTGACATGGCTTATCAAATCTTTCAAGTCGTCAAGCCAGGCTTGTTGAACGAATTCTTCAAAGGAAACGCAAAGAAATCTTGCGCTATTTTGACGATATCGAATTGCTTTTTATTCAGCCACTATATGTATATAAAACGCTATATGTATATCGGAATATTCCAAAATTGTGATGGCTTTTGGAGTACTGGTTATGATGTCGTTTGTCATATTTGCGTTATGTTCTTCAAAAGAGCGATCATTCTTTTGACCTTCATATGAATGTTAATATAAATTTTATTGGTTTTGTACAGAAATATAGTCGAACCGTAAACGCATCCTTGGCCTCCATTACTGCTAGCAATACACACGAGTGTCTCTTTTTCCTTTTTGACACGTTGCTTAAGGCATGTTCTCAGTTGAAATAATAGTGCCTTCTAGATCTGCAAGTACATCGACCTTAAAGTGGAAGGCTTTTAAAAAAGATTCAAGCCAAACTACCTTGGTTAGCCTTAAAACGAGGCTATTGCTTGCTAAAGAAGTTGACATTGTTGATAATTAGATAACGTTCTCCTGGAGGATTCGTCATAGAATATGCTTTTTTGGACTTCTGTAGCACATAGGAACATATCACACGAGTTTCATCGATAGCCGGTTTACTAATGTAAGGTAGGGTTGTCTTTTTGAACTGCCCTTAACAGGCATTCCCTGTTCTATTATTTAGGTTTAATGTAAGTGTTTTGTCAGCGTCACAAATATCATTGTCAAATGATGATTCTTAAAAGTATGATTCGTGCATGATTAGAAGAGGAAAAGTCTGCACCGCGGAGTAACTACATCACGAAAGGTCTAGAGCGTCTACATACGGATACCTACATACTGTTGAAAGAGAGTCATGAATAGAATTACTCAAACACTAGCTCTACCTATGTAGGCCGTTTGATAAAATAGTGAGCAATAGTTGTACACGTAAAACCCGAAACCCTTACCTTAAATACCCCTCGATCATGCGTACTTCGAATCTTCGAACTTCATACTTACTCATACTCAGTCAACCCAATATCCTTTTATGTTGTTTAGATGTTTTCTAAATCTAGCATCTCTCCCATATAGTCCTTTGTACAAGAAATTAACGGCCTAATTGTAGTGTCATGCAATATATACGTAGTTAGCGCACACTGGGTCGCGCAAGTCCCGATAATCAGAGAACGATAGGGATCAGCGTCGACTCCAATTCGTCTGTTGTAGAGGATATTGCATAGACCTCGGAGCGTCGGAAGTGTAGTGGCATTAAACCGCTTAAAGAAATGAATAGACCATACAATGAAATTATTTAAGATGCACTGGTCCAGTAAACGCATTGGTTAAAACCCATTTAGAGAAATCTAATTAACTCAACGTTATGATGATTTCTACCTAACCTGAAATGAAATTTTGTTTTGAATGCCTATAACAGTTAACAGATAGAGGACAGACATTACATCAAACTTTTATCTTCTTGATTGGATGTCTCTCGATTTGAAGACAATTTCAAAATGGTGGTTTTATCGAATTTTATGTCATATCTTTTGCAAAATCTGGATATTTCGCTGATTTGTTTATGTATTTGCTCTTAATGTTGTGTCTTGCTCTTAATGTTATAGTAATTATACCAAGAAAATGTGCACTGTTGTAAACGTGTATATTACTTTTCCCTATCAGGAATCTCATTTCAGGTCTTAGGTTTTTCGTTTGAGCTTCGGTTCACTTCCAGAAGTAAAATTCGGTCACATTTCTTTACAACGATTAACGCAATTATTATCTAGGTCTAAACATATTTACAGTGAAACATTTCTAGAAACAGTATAAGACAACCCTGATGTAATGTTAAATCATGGTATAAAATCATAAAAGCAATGTACAAAGTATTTTACAGAAAATCATTTATATTCAATAAGTGTTAGAGCAAAGGGTAACGAAATATAATCGA